GAATGGTGAAAATGGCGCGTTGATGACTAGCCCTCGCCAAGGGGAAAGGAAACGGCCCTGGGACAGCTATGATGATTGAAAGTGAGCTATGGGAATTCACAAAAGCATTTTCAAGCAGACAGGATAGGGACTACTCGATGCTGTTGTTTACCTTGATCATTGCCATGAGGACGACCTTGATCATTGCCATGAGGACGATACTCGGCAAACGTTGACGTACAAATGTACACCGCAAGACTCCTGCTTCAGATCCAAATTAGAGCACTCTAGCCTCTTTGGCTCGGGGGAGAAGTGATATCCAAGATATCGCACAACGGTAGCCGCCCAGGTCTAGACCGGCCAGCCAAGATTGGTGATGAAGTGCCAAAATGAGACAACATCAGCATCGAGGGAGGTCAAAAACAAATGAAACGGTGTATCACGGAATCCTCGAAGAAGATCTCCTATCTTTCACCAGCTCCTTCCAGGCTTTGAAGTGCATTCCTGGACGGTGCCCCACTGCCAACTTAGCTTACATTCTCAGCACCATCGCATTTCTCTCTACTGCTCCAACGCGGCCGTTCCAGAATGCCATGAGCATCCCTCTAGTCCCCGAGACGTGAGACGTTTAGTTCCCGCGAGAGACACCTGGGAGAGGAACACATTTAATCATGTTCATCGCGCAAAGCCACTTGCTGAGGAAGCATTAAGCGTATCGAGAGGGCGCTGGCGAGAGGCCGGAAGCATTTTGTGGCGGCGATGGTCGCGAATGAGATCCCTATCTTTCAGCCTCTGCATCAGCCCTCCATCACTAGACAAACGTTGTTTAGCAGAAACGGGGACCTCGTGTCTTAGTGATTAAGGAGATAATTGAGAACAGGCACCATGGCACGCGCCGGCCCACTTGGTCGTGGGAGTCGCCAGGGCGGGTTCGAATGGCATGTGCCGGGAACCAAGACGTATTTAACGTCTTGAACAGCCCATCAATCCGGCCACACGCGTGCAAATGTCCCCGCTTGGGTGATCTCTTTGTTCTCCCATCCCTCGACTCAATCCTCCCCCGAGATCCCCCCGTCCGGTCGACACCATGGGTCTCGGAAGCAATAGCCGTCCGAACCCTCTCGTCTTCGTGGCCGTCTTCTTCATGTTCCTGTTGATGACGGGAACGTGGGATTTGCTCTTCAATGTTGGTCTTGCCATCTCCTCCCTCGCCTCATGCTCAGCAGCTGACCCGAACTTCAGCACCACGACGGCACCGCGGCACCCTCGAGGGGCGATGACCGCCCTCACGCCGGAACCCAGCTCACCAGCCAGCGCATCTCAGACCTCGACGTAGAACCCCTCTCATACGAGGACCCCGAAGCCGTGAAGCCGCCGCCGCCGCCTCCTCCTCCCCCGGCGCCCAAGTACACCGCCCTCCTCGTCGAGACCGACCCGGCCCACGTGCCCAACATCGTGCCCATCATGATGCACTTCGCAACCGTCATCGGCCCGGACTGGCCCATCTCCTTCGTCACCGACTGGGAAAACTACGCCGCCTGGGAGGCGCCCCCGGCCTTCCGCCGCGCCGTCGACGCCAACCAGATCATCGTCAAGTACCTCCCGCCCAACACCACCTTCCCGACGCACGAGTCCGTCTCCGCCTTCCTCGTCGGCACCTGGCTGTGGGACCAGTTCCAGTCCTACGCGCGCGTGCTCATGTTCCAGGTCGACAGCATCGTCTGCGCCAACTCCGCGCACCGCCTCGAGGACTTCCTCGAGTGGGACCTCATCGGCGCGCCCATCCGGCCCGGCTTCGGGTTCGGGTACAACGGGGGTTTGTCGCTGCGCAACCCGAGCATGCTGCTCGAGATCGCGCGCGACCTCGAGGCAAGGGTGGCGAAAGATCCGGCCGTGGCGGGCGAGGTGAACTACGAGGACCAGTGGTTCTACCACAAGGTCAAGGAGAGGGGCGGGAAGGTGCCGGAGGCGGAGGTCGCGGGCAAGTTCTCGGTCGAGACGTACTATTTCGAGAAGCCGTTGGGGTATCACCAGGTGCAGAAGTTCCAGCAGGATCACCAGGAGGATATCGACATGTACTGCCCTGAGGTGGCGATGATTCTCAAGGGCTCCCATTATAGGTGAGATGGGTTGTGGTAGGCTTGAATATCAATTTCTCAACGTTCAAATATTCTGTCGCATCACATGATTGCTGAAGACCTGGTGGAATAAACATATAGGCCGGGCAACGTCAGGATCCGAGCAACTCGGCATTACAAAAGGCTATTATGTTGCTGGTAAGCGGTTCAGCCCCTACTCCATGTTTTGAGAATAGCGTAGGTGTTGTTGTGTTCGTCTTTGATGTCCCCTTTCGTCTGAGGGATGAGCGTAACCATATGCGTGTTCCTTGATTTGAGTAGATGTTCGCACATAGATCTTTCGACGTTAAGGTTTATTTTCTCTCCTAAAAGGATGTCTTGAGATTTCAAGTGCGAACCCATCACAGGCTATCTATAGTATGTGATATCTTAACGGATCCGTTGCTTCTCAGGTGCTGATGAAGCACTCGTGACAAATTATAACGCCTCAATTGATAGACCCTGAGGGCAGATTCTCATCCTTACCCCGCCCGTTGCGAGACACGTTCCAAATCCGGAAACTATCGCCTGATGTTGTGTAGATGTGGCTTTGGTGATGCGGCTGGCCTGGAACATTATGAATCCTACAAACAGTCGCATCCAGTCGGGGCAACGTTTCTGCGTGTCATAGATTGGCCCGTCTGCGTGCAAAAGTCCCAAGTGAGGCGGATGCGTTGGTTGACCGGACTTCTCGTATATGCACTAATAGTTGAGCATACTTTGCATCGACCTAGTTTCCGATAGGGAAGAAATCAGTATAAAAGCGGCGGTATTTCATGCTTGCCCATGGAAAGAAAGATGACTACAAGACTCTAACAACGAATGAATCAACCTGAGCACAGGTATCAAAGTTCGACACTATGGAACCACCAAAGGCTCCAGTAAAAGTCGGCGAACCAAACTACATGACAGCCAAAAACAACAGTGAAACTCGCAACTACAGTAAGTAACTCTGGTGCCCAATGGTAGAAGATAATCCAGCAATGATCCTTCCATATCCACTTCTCTGGTGCAGCGCTGCATGGATCCTATGAATGACATATTGACAAAAGTTCGTCAACAGTTTGGGCAGAGGTTCGGTCGCGCAAGCCTGGTTCAGACACCTTTGTTTACATCGTACCTCCTCAAATCATCCCATACATCCATACGGCTGGGCCCGAGACACAGCTGAACTTCCTCTGGACACCAAAGCCGGACTATTGCCACTTGACACTGCAGTTCGTTGGTAGATCGTACTCGCTCCGCAATGTTCATCTGACCATTGCCCCCGGGACACCTCTCGGAGACAGACGGACGAAGCTGCAGGTAGAGCGAAGAGATGACAACGGCCAGGCGGAAGGGCCAACGACGACGCCGAATCTCGTCAATGACACTGTGAATGACGAGAAGCTGAGAGCTGCCTTCCGCGGTATTCTCGATGCAAAGATAAGATACGAATGGAAACACCCAATCTTGGGCCATGTCGGATACCTAAATCCGACCTCCCCTAAGGGCTTTGAGTGGCGATCGGGGGCTCAAGCCATCGTCTTACAGCAATGCCAAGCCATGCTCACAGAACTGCAGAGAATCATGGTTGACTTTGGGATAACTGGTGCCATTCCAAACAAACTGAAGAAACCAGAAGATCAGCCGCATTGATCTAAGATCCAATATAGCCAGAATTACCTATCAGTGCAACACCAGACTATGTTAGTGCTCGGTCTGCATAATTCATTGCTCTCCCTCGCCTTGAATGGATCTTTGCTCGTGAAACACATCAGTTAATCATTTAGAGCACGTGTCCTCTGCAGCCTGCAGGGTAGAAAGCTCCCGCGGCGTCCCTCCGATCTAGCTTATGAGGCTTCATTCAAGCTCCCGGTATGTCTAGGCAAAAATAGTCTTTTGGATACCTTATCTTTCTATAAAGTCCTCGTCTCCTTCAGAGGAATTCGATTGATCCTTTTCCTACTTGCTATACACTTGATGCATTTTTTTCATTCCAGACAGAACCTCTTCATTTGACGAAGGCGATCCGTCACGTCAACAACTACGTTCCAGGGGAAGGACTGGGGACATGAAACAATAAGATAAACGATGAATTCTCTGCCTCGAAATGTCGATGTACGGTACCAGCTGCACAAATGGAATCGTTAGTCGGTATGGATTTAGGTTAGAATGCTGCCTTTGATATCGTCCGTAATGAGTTCACAAGAACTTCCGACGAAGGCCAAACCATCGGCCCGACTCGGCGTCAGAAGCCGGTCGATCCAGAGGAGAGAGCGCATCGAGCGAAGACTATTCGACAGCCTATGCGGAATGAAGGGTGGTTCAACTAAACCAAGGTGAGATAATTAATTAACCCAACTTCAAAGCTTGGGTGAAATGTTTTCTAATTACGTAGTAATCAAAAGTCGAACTTGGGAAAGAGGGCTAAAAGCCTGTACCTGAGTTCGTGGCCGTAGCACGTAGCTGTTTGGAAGTATGTCTGTCAGTTCGATTGGGACTGCTACTTCTCGTGGCAGCAAACTTCTCGACGAGCAAGGCTTTGATTTGCTTCGTGTGGCTACGTAACGGACCACCGTGTCGGAACAACCAAACCACCCAATCAACCCAACACCTCGCCATGTTGTCTCGGAACCCACGCAGAAAGCGTTGCAATCAACACCCAATAAGGCTTCGTTCCCCGCTGGCCTTCCCGAAGCGGCTCAAATGCTCCAGCCGAGTGCATGGTCAGGGTTGTGTAATTCGTCCGGGGAATCGGCCTTCGTCTTGGCGAGACTGGGCCCCGGTCTGTAGGATGCAGAACGCCAGAATGCGAACCAACAACAAAAAGAGGGGTTTTTCTGTGCGTCGCGCGAGAGTCTTTATGCTTTCTTCTTTCGCAGTCGAACACTGGAAATCTCAAATCGAAACTGTGACAAGATGATGGCCTCAACAGAGCAACCTGCTGCGGCTACCGGCCCGCCTGCAGCTGAGGGCACGATCGCGGCGGTGAGTGTGAAGACAAGATGAGGCGGACGATGATGTGGTGGTGAGAGGGTGAGGCTGGGCTGACCGCCAATCGGCGTAGGACCCCGCGATTGAGACTGAGGATGAGACTAGAGGGGACGCGGAAAGGTATGGCTCTGGAAAGATCACAAGAACGTTCTTGCATGCTCATCTAATCAAGTGTCGTCACGTCGTCTACGGCGTCGCTCTCTGAGAGCATCACCGAATACCGCCGCCTTCACGGCCGCACGTACACCCAGAAGACTGATTACTACGGCCCCAACGACGAGAAGCACGGCGAAGCGCTCGAAATCAAGTGAATCCCATAGCTCTCCGTGCTGATGCTTCGATTGCTGACCCGAGCAGCCACTACTGGATGACGCTGTTTCTCGACGACAAGCTCTTCCTGGCGCCGATTGGCGACAAGCCGCAGGTGAGCTCGGGATGTGCATCACTTTTGAAGAAGAGCACACTGATGAAATCACGCACCAGAGGGTTCTCGATCTCGGCACTGGCACCGGCATCTGGGCCATGTGAGTTCATCCGCAGATGCGCCAGATGAGAGCATGCTGACTCCAACATCCAGCGACTTCGCCGACGAGTTCCCCTCGGCAGAGGTAATCGGCGTCGACGTCTCCCCCACGCAGCCCACATGGGTCCCGCCCAATTGCAAGTTCCAGATCGACGACATCGAGCAGCTGCCGTGGACCTGGCCGGCGGAGCACTTCGACTTCATCCACATCCGCAACCTCGAGGGCTGCGTCGCGGACTGGCCGGCGCTCTACGCGGAGGCCCTGGCGAACCTGAAGCCCGGCGTCGGGTACATTGAGATCAAGGAGTTCGACATCGACGTCAAGTCGCAGGCGATCCCGGAGCTTGACGATGACCACGTCTTCAAGCGGTGGGGCCGGCTGTTCTTCGAGGCGTTCGACCGCCTCGGCAAGACGGCGAAGCAGCACCGCGACCACGGCATCAAAAAGAACCTCGAGGCTGCGGGTTTTGTGGACGTTGTAGAGAAGAAGTGGCCCGTCCCGATCGGACCGTGGCCGAAGGATCCCATGCTGAAGGAGGTGAGTCTGAATTCCTGTGCATGAGTCTGAGGCTCTTGCTTGATTGATCGGAACAAGTGATGCTAACGGAAACAGGTCGGCGCGTGTCTGTTGGAGTTTCTCGACCAAGGTCTCGAGGGCTTCGGGATCTTCCTCGCCAAGGAGGTCATGGGGTGGGAGTACGCCGAGATTATGGTGTTCATGGCCGAGATGCGGAAGGCCCTGAAGGACTCCAAGCTGCAGCCTAGAGTTGACGTGTAGGTGCTTCCCTTATGATGAGCACAAAATTGCCCATGCTAATGTGATTTCCTCGCCAGACATCTTGTCTACGCGCGCAAGCCGGAGAAAGCCAAGGAGGAGACGCCGGCTGCTGCGGCTTAAGCAGCGTTTTGTCTTGTGCCCAGTGTTGAGGGTACTGCAACGAACTAGAGCTTGCGTGGAGTCAATTGATAGCCACGTTGTAGGCTTTTCTTCCATCACTAAGTGATAAGTGAACAGCAGCGGTGCAATTCTTAGGCGTAGACGTGAACCATCAAACCAAGAAATGGAACCAGAGAATGCCTGAAGTGAATGAGAGCCGCTATATGAGATGCATCGTGACATTAGCGAAACCGAGGCGTTCGGGGTTCATGCCGCGCACACGGAGGGAAGCCGGTGCGTTCGCGCGGGTGCTGGGTCGGCGGACCGGATGGTAAAGTCCGAAAAAGCAAGGTTGCAAACTCCGAGCACGCAAACTCCCATTGAAGCGAGCGAATGAAAAGCGACTCATCTGAGCAGCAGCGCCAGGGGGAGGGTTCACAATCCCGATCCTGGGGGGCATGACGAAGCGCAACCTCGAGACGAGAGCCTCAGCTGAGAACGGTCAAAAGATCCGAAGCCGGACCATGTGTCCAGACAGACTGAGAGAGGAGGGTGCCGGATGCGCTCCAGTCAGGAAACAGCGGCTCAGAGTGGTCGGAATTGGCTCCCCGTGGGCCCCCATGTGGGATTGCGCACAGACCAGCAGGGCAGTAAAGGCGGAAGGCGGCGATACAGAAACTCCGCTTCCCCGCGATTGCACGATTTCAGTGGGGGCACCGCATGACTCGATCCACAGCCGCCTGCTCCAGTGGTGCATCGCTGATGAGAGGTTTGAACACTGAAGCTCCAGCGATGATTCTCCAGCGAAAAGGTGGGGTCACAAGGGCCGGAGTCGCACCGGACCGGTCCCCTCCTCCTTCAGTGGAGGTCACAGTCATGGATGATGGAAGTTCCCCCTCCAACAGCTGAACAGCCAGGCAGGTAGCTCTCTTCTGGCGGTGGTGCTTGCAGTTGCTGCTGGTCAGGTAGTAGGTGGGCTGTGGCCCGACCGACTAGGAAGCACCACGCACCACCCACGGGTTCAGGCGCAGAGTCACAAGTCAGCCCATTCCAACCTACCTATCCACCCGCGCCATACCCGTTCCTTGCTTCCATTGTGTCCAGTTCTTTCAGAGTGACTCCCACCCCCCAGTGCCCAGTGTGACAGAGTCCCGTCTGCAGCTGCTTTTTCGGCACTTCGCTGTCTCGGAGTCTTTTTTTTTGTTCGTCACCCTCCTCCGAGCAAAACCTCGACCTCTTCCCGAACTCCTCCTCCTCTCCATCCTCAACCCTCTTCCCTTTTTTCTCTCTTCATCTCCCGAAAAAGAGAAGAACACCAGATCCAAGATGCTCTCCACCGCCAGAATCGCCACCAGGCAAGCCGCCGTCCGCCGTGCGGCCGCCCTGCCCGTCATGGCCGCCCGTGCCGGCTCGACCTGGGCCAACGTTCCCCAAGGTCCTCCTGTATGTCTTATACGCCCCGACTCCAAAATGCCCCAATTGAGTGCGCCACGATTGCTAACGAATTCCTGCAGGATGTAAGTTGAACACCGGCATTTTGCGAAATAGCTGTCTCCGCCATGGAGAAAAACCGAACTCGTTTGCTGACCGGCCGATTTTTGCTGCGACAAACAGGCCATTCTCGGTATGACGCACCCTTCCCGCGGCTTCTCTTTTTTTGTCCCGCAAGCAGCCACGAACTCAATTGAAGCTAAAACGCTGCCAAACAGGTATCACTGAAGCCTTTAAGGCCGACACCTTCGAGCAGAAGATCAACCTCGGTACGAATGCCCCTCCACCATGACGCACACCCCAGCCGGCGAGCTCTGGACAAGCTGTCACGAGCTTCACCTCCACACACAACCCCACGATGCTCAACCACCCCGACAACCACTAACAACCCCCAGGTGTCGGTGCCTACCGCGATGACCAGGGCAAGCCCTACGTCCTGCCCTCCGTCCGCGCCGCCGAGGAGAAGGTCGTCGCCGCCAAGCTGAACAAGGAGTACGCCGGCATCACCGGCGTGCCCGAGTTCACAAAGGCCGCCGCCGTCCTCGCCTACGGCCCCGACTCCTCCGCCCTCGACCGCCTCGCCATCACCCAGTCCATCTCCGGCACCGGCGCCCTGCGCATCGGCGGCGCCTTCCTCGCCCGCCACTTCCCCGGCGCCAAGAACATCTACATCCCCACCCCCTCCTGGGCCAACCACGGCGCCGTCTTCACCGACTCCGGGCTCGCCGTCCACAAGTACCGCTACTACGACCAGAAGACCATCGGCCTCGACTTCGAGGGCATGCTCGCCGACATCAAGGCCGCCCCCAAGAACTCCATCTTCCTCTTCCACGCCTGCGCCCACAACCCCACCGGCGTCGACCCGACCCCCGAGCAGTGGCGCGAGATCTCCGACGCCGTCAAGGCCGCCGGCCACTACTCCTTCTTCGACATGGCCTACCAGGGCTTCGCCTCGGGCAACACCGACACCGACGCCTTCGCCGTCCGCCACTTCGTCAAGGAGGGCCACAACATCGCCCTCGCCCAGTCCTTCGCCAAGAACATGGGCCTTTACGGCGAGCGCGTCGGCGCCTTCTCCATCGTCGCCCAGGACGCCGAGGAGCGCAAGCGCCTCGACTCCCAGGTCAAGATCCTCGTCCGCCCCCTCTACTCTAACCCCCCCGTCCACGGCGCCCGCATCGCCTCCACCATCCTCAACGACGCCGCCCTCAACAAGCAGTGGCTCGGCGAGGTCAAGGGCATGGCCGACCGCATCATCACCATGCGCGCCCTGCTCAAGGACAACCTCGAGAAGCTCGGCTCCGCCCACGACTGGTCCCACATCACCTCCCAGATCGGCATGTTCGCCTACACCGGCCTGACCCCCCAGCAGATGGACGCCCTCGCCAAGGACCACTCCGTCTACGCCACCAAGGACGGCCGCATTTCCGTGGCTGGCATCACCAGCGGCAACGTCGGCCGTCTGGCCGAGGCCATCTACAAGGTCAAGGGCTAAGCGCTGCCCTTTTGCAGATTGCACAATTTCCACCAAAAAAGAGATATCATGGGGGTTCTGTTGACATGGGGTGCTTCGGTTTCCAAAAGAACAGGGTGTGTTTCACTGTAACGAACACGAAAAGGGGAGAGGCCTTCTCTTTAAGCAAAGCCAGGACTGAACCGGGCCGGCGGATATAGAACGTTGGCGCACCATAGGTAGACCACACACGCATTCCCAGCTGTGTAACAATATAGCGACGTCTTTTGTAATCTGTCTCCCTAGACCGTGACCTCTGCTTCTTTCGTGATCTCTCCAATTTTTGTGTAACTCCAATATCCATAACTCTCACGCCTTCCCCAACCTCTCCAAGTCCCTCATCGCCTCATCCCTCTCCCTCTCCAACTCACGATACTTCCTCGCAATCTCCCTCATCGTCCTCTCCTTCCCCCCATCCCCCCTCCCCTCCTCCCCAACCCCGTACCCCTCCAGCTCCGCCTTCAAATTCGCCACCGTCCCCTCCAACCGTATCCTCGCATCCCTCAAATGCGCCTCATAGTTCCCCAGCGCAGCCACCATCTCAGGCGAATACACCTCCCTCACGACCCCCTCCCGCGCCACCTCCGCCTCCGCCCGCGCCCGCTGCGCCTCCAGCCCCGTCTCCGCAGCGCGCATCTCCAGGCTGCGCGCGACCAGCCCGTGCTTCGCCTCCAGCGCGCGCACGAGCAGCGTCAGCGCGCCGGCGTGCGTGTCCAGCAGCTCCGTCAGCGCAGCCGCCGCGCGCAACCTCTCAGACGCCAGGGCGTGCCGCGCGGCTGCGACGTCGGTCTCGAGTTTGGCGTAGGTCGCGTTTAGCCCGGGCACGGTGCGGTGCAGGAAGGAGGGGTTCGTGGACGGGTTGGCGATGCGTGCGAGGGAGACGGCGGAGGTGTGGAGGGTGGAGGAGACGAGCTCGCCGAGCTGCGGGAGGAGGGATTGCAGCTGGGAGAAGGGCGGGTTGGAGAGCAGGATGGCGGCGGAGGCGGGGTCGAGGGGGGTCGGGGAGGTGAGCAGCGGCGGGAGGAGGAGGAGGAGGTCGAGGAGGGGCTCTGGGAGCTGTTGTTGCTGTTGCTGGGGAGGCTGTGGTGGTTGTTGGGATGTGGATGTGGATGTGGGACGCAGCGAGCGGTGCGCGGGTTTCGGGTCCGGGGGTGCCGTGGTCGAGATGGCGGATGTGAGGAGGTGGTCTTTTGCTGTTGTGTAGGTGTGGTCTGCTAGTTCCTAACATGATGTCAGATTGATTTAGAAAAATCGACGTCAAGGGTTTTCGTACATTTTGGATCGCGGACTGTTCCTTGGTATACGGCTTCTTTGACGATCCGTCTGGGTTCAGGATGGCCGTCGTGAGGGTGTGATGCAGCGCCGCGAACTCGGGGTTATTTTGGAGGACCGACTCCTCCACCGGGGGAAGCATTGTGACTTTCCACCTTCTTCTTGACCGAAATAAAAGTGATTGATCTGTGGTTGTCGGAATGTCACTGGATCTTAGTCTCTGCTCCTCGCTACGTCAGGTTGGCGTGGGGTTTAAGGCTGTACACTGACAGACTGGCTCCCGGCCCAACGATAAGGTCGCGAAACCCACACGCAATCAGCTGATTCCACTTTAACCCAGCTCCCCGTCGCCGCCCCCACCAAACTACCCCTCCAGCCAATCAAACCACCCAATTCCACCAGCGGGCGGAACATCAGCCCGCCCGAACGGAAAGCCGCAACTCCAAAAATTCCATTCCCTGAACATCACGAAGCACCACCAGCGCCGCCCGCCACCCGACGACGATACCCTCCCCTCCCGCCTGCCCTCGAGGCAACCTCCTCCACCGCACCCGAACCTCACAACCTTCGCCCACGATGCGCGGCCTCTCCCTCCTCCGCCCAGGGACGCTCCCCACACCCAGCACCCTCACACCACCAACCCTCCGCCAATTCTCCTCAACCCCCGCCTCCCTCACAAAAACAATCCCCATCAAGAACCTCCCCTCCGACGCCCTCCCGCCGTACCCCTTCGGCCCCCGCCTCA